GTAGTAGTAGGAATAGTAGTAGTAGAATTAGAGTAGCAGTGGAGTAGGAGTAATTCGTAGTACCCGTGGGTGTAGAATTTGTTTGTTTCAGGATTTTAGTTTCGTGTGGGTTTTTTTGTGTTCATTCATTTGTATTTGTTCATTTATTTATCCTTTAATGTGCTCATTTGTCTAGTTGTTTGTTATTGTTGCCCTTGTCATTCAAGTTGTTGCGTCGTCTTCGTTTCGTAGCCACAGTGATAGTCGCGTCGTCGTAAAACTAGTACTGTTGTTGCTGTTCTTCTTCTTCTTGTCAGATACATGCTACCAGCATGGGATGGCTTTGCTGTTTGCTGTAGTTACATCCGTGCCTTTACTCATTGCTTCTTTTGTGCCAGTTTAGTCTGCCTCGTCTTCAAAATCGCCACCGTCGCCACTGCCAGCGCGATGTGTTTCTACACGACGGCTGCCACACAACCACATGCATCATATTCACATTCAGCATGTAGCATCGTTGTCTGCATCATCGCCATTCTAACCTTCATCGGCCGACATTGAACCTGCTCAACACTTGCCTCCTGTCCAGAACATTGAAATTATTAGACCAGCTTTCGGCTCCGAAGTAACTAGCGTTTGCAACCTTGGAGCTTCAAAGTTGTGTGCAGTAGTTCCCATTTTTGCAGAGAGGCTCTCCGGCTTTCCACGCAAAGACCTGGCTCCATAACAATTACTCTTGCATGGGTCCCCTCTCCAGAGCGCACGGATTATAGGAATAGGGCTCAGTGCATTGCAGTCCCCTAAACCCTAAGCCCTAAACCGACAGTGTAGCGACTCTTCCGGATGCAAAGCAGATGTTCAGGGCGATGAGCTTCGGGCCCTCAGAGGTTTGGTGTGAAGGTTGGCTTTAAGACAACAAAGACGACATGAGCGAAGTCTGCGCATGGCTCCTTGCATAGACCCTGAGCCTGACATCCAAGTTCAAGTTCTGTGCAATGAGTTCAGATTCCAGCTTGCCGGCACGCGCCCAAAGCCCATGCTGAAAAGAACATATTGGGTGGGGGGAGTAGGGTCATTTAGGGCAAATTTAGGGTTTAGAGTGTCCATTTTAGGCTTGTCTTCCTTGTCTACCGAGGTTCCTGCGTTTAACGTGCCGATGGAGGCCACTTTGCATCACCGAACCAAGCTGAACATAGCCTTCAACAACAGAGTAGTCTGCATACTATAGGGGCATATAGAAATGAGTGCGAACATTATTCTATAATTCCATAGGGTTCTTTATTTGCAGTAGAGTATACCCGAGACCGTATTCTAATTCGTAAGCCACTATAGTATAAGTACATCTTAATGAGGCACAGTCCTCCGCAACCCCCCCCCCCCGTTTTTGTTGGTTTCCCAACGAAGGCCTAAAAGAGCGAAGTATAGTATACCCCAAAATTCATTCCTATAGACCCCTATCTTACAGAACCTCTATATGTGGCTTCCGAGTTTTCGGGAGGAGGCTCGGGAAACAGGGGACAGGACCTCCTTCCCTTAAGACGCGACACATCGGCGGCGCTGGCTTTCGTACTGCTTTCGGAAGGCATGGGCTTGCTATGGAGTTTTTTTTTTGTATTGGCAGTACCAAGACCCCAAATCCCGAAACATATTGTTTGCGCATTCTTCTCATGTTTATATAGTATAAGTAAAAGATACTGTTGATGATATAAATCCTGCATTACCTCGAAGACCCTAAAGACTGAGAATTATGGTGTATTCCTTGTTATGGGTAATGCAGGGACTTGTGCCGTCAGCCGTAGTAGAAGCCTTCTTCAGCCCTGCATGTTCTGATCATCGAGGCCCCTAGGTGCATTACCGGGGCTTCTTCTGGGTGAGCGATTACTACACCAAAGGGGGGACTAGGGTTCAGGGTTTAGAGTTGGGGTTCAAGAAAGGGTTTAGGAGTTAGGGTGCACCACCGAATCAGCCTTTATTAAGGTTTAGGGCTGAGCGCTTGGGCTTTAGAGATTTTGTGTTTCGGGTTTAGGCATTTCGGGGTGTCTGGTTAGGCGTTCAGGGTTTAGGATTCTTGTTGGCCTTGGCTGTTTTTCGGGTGTATCGAAACGATTGGAGAAGCGTGCCCGAGCTGGCTATGTCAGCTTTGGTGAAACGCCCGAAAGTAATGAAGTGTTGGTTGGTCTGCCAAACCCGAAACCGCAGACCCTAAAATCCTAAGCCCTAGAACCCGAAGCCTTAAATCCCTGAACCCTCACCCGATAACACCAATCCCTAAATCCCGAACCCTTAACCCCGTAGACCCCCAACCCAAAAGGCCGAAGCCCTAATGCCTAATACAGCAATCCCTCGTGCCAGGACTTCGCTGCGTTGGAAATGAAGACGGACGAGCCGAAGCATTTGCGCACGGGGCCCCAGAGATCGGGGTGAAAACGGGTTTAATGTAGGGGCCTTAACAATTAGAATAAAATTTTGGGGTTAAAAAAAAACTATACTTGTTATAAGGAACCCCCAAAGTCAGTATTGGTAAGTATTCAGGCTTCTATATTAGGGAATTAGGCAAACTTGGGGCATAGCGGTTTAGTGATTTAAGGAAAGCTTAGATCATGGGGGTTTAGGGAATTAGGGCCTCAACAATTCCGGGTCTTGGGTATATAGAGTTAAGGAGTGCTGGCATTCATCAAGTCCAGATGTAAATAGAGTTAAGGAGTTTAGGGAGAAGGATCTGGATCGGAATATGACTGCAGGTGAGGAGCCACAACTCTCTTCGGCAAAACAAGAACATGCTGGAAAACCCTGAACCCTAAAGCCCTAAGCCCTAAACCCAAAACCAAGCTCCCCACTAAAGCTGGAGAGGAACTCTGCACCTTAAGCAGAGCGAAGTACCCCCTTCATGCCTTGCGAGGCCTCAGAGAGTCGAGCACGCCGTGCAGAACTGTCACCACCAAAGCCAGCATATCATAGTGTTGTTGTTCTTATGAATCATTGTATCATGGTTATCCTTATCAGTATGATTAGAGAATTCTTATTAGCATCAATCAACGTACCTAAAGCGAGGTGAGGAGGCTGTCTGCACAGCACCAGCGGAAGTCGAGATGCGGTAAACGGTGACAATCCGGCATTGCCCCGAACCCGACTGACAGCAGTGGCAAGCGAATCGCATGATCTCCAGGCTTTGCCCCTGCGTATTTGGGGGCAGATGGCTGGTGGTGGAACTTCACCATGTACTTTTCAACGGAGATGCAGACGGCACGGCCCTCAGTTGGCAGATCTTTTACAGACTTCTAAACCTAAACGCCACCACTATATACCCCAAACTCTGAGAAGCGCAACCACTACACTCTTGATGCCGCTTAAGCTTGCAGCTGCCTGAACCTGTGCAGCACTGAATTAAGCCACGATCTGTATCATTGCGTCGCGCCCTTCGTGATTTGCTAAGTAGCTGGCTAAAGCTGAATACATATGGTCATTAACGTTTGCGAGAGTGTATGACCCTACTCTCACGAACAAACTGTCCCTTTGAATTTGGGGCTATTCGGGGCCTTGGGGAACTGAACCCTCAACCCTCGTGTCGAGGTTTGTCTTAGTAGTGGCACGGGCAAGCTTTGACCTTGTTCGGGTAGTATCATCCCTATACAATGCCAAAGGTTAACCTTTAGTTACCTTGTAGTTCCGCTAGCATGGTGGGACTATGTGGGGCAAGTGGAAAGGTTTACCTTTCGTCCCTCTTGGATGGTGGGACAAGTCCGGTTCCCTAAGCCCTAAACCCTAAACCCTGTAGGATGGTGGGACGGTGTATGACAAGTACGTGACGTGTTAAGTTGAAGGCTAGGGGTTAGGCTTGCGGTGGGTTCTGGTTATATATTGGGGCCTTAAGACCTAATAGTACTGGTAGAAAGTGGAAGAAGTCATTTCTGGAGACTTGGATTAAGAGTCTTCGATTCAGGTTGGGGGACGGCTTTGCAGGAGTCGCTCTGCTTGATCCGGGGGTTTCGGAGGTTTGACAATCAGGCTTTGAGTGATGCTTTGTCCACCGTGCCGGCCTCGGACAAAGACTCCAACACTGGAGCTTTAGTTCAAGTGTTTAGAGTTTAGTTATAGAGTTCAGGAGTGAAGGGTTGAGAGTTTAGGGTTTAGGGTTTATGGTGTTCTAGATGAGGCTTTGGAGGACTTTGTTACCTCAAGGAGTGAAAGTTGCTATGGGGACCCCATCACAGAGACTCAGAGATCTAGGACCCTTTGTGAATATTATACAGTGAATAACCTGAGTTTTATGGTTTTCGCTGTAGAATATGCAGGTATTGCTTTTGATAGTGTCTAACATATCGCCCCCCTTTAAAGAGAAGAGTCTTAAAATCCCCGGACTTGTAGGAGCTTGATTTGGACCCCTCCTGGAGAGTGACCCCGAATTGTCGGAAAGACCTTTGCACGTCGAATATAGGGGCCTTGATAATTATCTATACTATTTTGGGTGTCCTTGCTTTGATCATAGTTAGTAGAATATACCCAAACCCTATTCTAATTGTTAAAGCCCCTACATTAGCCTCTGCGGTGGTAGGCCGAATTCTGAATCACCTTGAGCCCTGACCCAGGCCTGCCACTACGAATGTGTCGCTTGGGGAGACAGCACTGCTGTGGAGAAATTGCTGCTTGACCGGAGCGTGTGACTTGAAACAAGAGTCTGGCTGATCCATGAAACATAGAGAGCTCTCTCCGCACTCAACCAGCCCGAAACAACCTCAGCCGTCCATCGACCAAATCTTTAAACACAGTGGATTTGACCCGCTTGCGGAAACCCAAAAGGGTTGAAAGGCTGAGGCAGAACTTCATGCCGTGTTTTTGCAAGATGGGGGGTTCCTTTCTTAGGGCCTAGGGTCTTTAGGGTGCATTCAAGACGAATTCCTCCCGCACATTAGGCTTTTCTGTTGTCGGAAGCTTTCGTGTGCTGCAGCCCAGGCTGGAAATCGGAATGGTTCTCGGGGGTGGCTATGCCATCTTGCTGTTCGCCAACGAAGTAGGACCCCGCCGCATCTCCCAACCACGCTCGGATGATGTTAGCAATAGTTCCTATCGCCCGTCATAACTGATCTCACATATTCCCATACTGGGCACCAGCCTGTATTTCGAACAGGGGCACGGGTGCGTCTGAATGCTAACTTCGCGTCCAGTTTTGATGGCTTGTAGAAGAGTTTCCGCATGCTAAATTTGTTTTCGGACCATGCATATCCCTAGCAGCTAAGCCCACCGGCCTTGCATGAAACTGGACTGTTTGCGGTATATGCATGATGACGAATCAATGTGATTCTGTAGGTTCGAGGTGCATTCGCACCCGATTTCCCCTTTAGATTAGTCATTGGTGTGATCTCCCCCAAAGACGAACAGGAAACGCCCTGGGACACTCAGCAGCAAGTACCAGGATCAGGGTTCTTGGGCTTCAGGGGCTTTAGCCGTTTAGCCAGGCATCGGGACCCGGAAACGCGCGTCTGTGCAGTCGGGAAGCAGGGTTCTCTTAGTGGCTTGTCGATCGTTTTTTTTGTCCTTTTCTTCTTCTTTGAGGTCTGCTTTTGGGCCCAGAATGTATCAGGGAACCTGAGTTCAAAAACAGTTGTCGGAACCCAAAAGGCCCGGCGTTGTAGCTACTAGCTACACTGAAGACAAGGCACGGTCCTCACAAACGTTGATAACAGTGTGGCGAAGCAGAGAGTTGCGAAACTTGTGAGCTGGATCATGCAACACGAGTTAGTTGGGCGCCATGCGCGGAAAGAAGGTGGAAGCTCCTGGGAGGAAGTTCGAAACCTTAACGCCTCTTGACTTCCGAGCTTCGTGTGAGGCTCCCTTTTGGGACCCTAGCCCTGATCCGGACACCCCCAAGCGCCGAACGAGCCCTGATATCTCTCTTCGAAGGATAGAAGCCGCTCCCAAACAAAAACACTGAATAAAAGCCAAAGCTCGGCACCCTCGAGCCTCAAACCCAAAATAAACCCCGAAAGCGAGAAAGAAACAAACCCAAAACCTCGAAGCCCACAACCAAAGCAAGGCAATAGCCTCGTGGACCGAGATATGAAGCCAGCGCGTCTCGCAGAGGCCCCACCGGGGTGAGGGGGTTTGGGGGGTATGGGGGTTTAGGGTTCAGGGGTTTGGGGGTTGCTGGTCGAGAACGTTTCGCTTTGTCATCAGGGCAGAGGTTTTATGAGGGTTCCAGAATGGTTTTACAATGTTTTACAGTGGCTTCTGGTGTCTTTATAGGGTTTAGTGGATAGGGGCCTTGATAATTAGAATAGGGTTTTGGTGTATATTGTAACAGTAAAGCCTGGGCACAGCCCCACTAAGTTTACCGACACTGTTTTAGGCTCCGGGATAGCGTGTAGTTGAATGCCCGCGGGAGTTGCAGACAATAGGGGACCCTAAATGCAGAGCCATTAATCATCGCATCCCTGGTAAATCAGGAGTACAGCCTAATATTGTGACAAGCCAAGCGCAAAAAAAACAGACATCCTGTCATTGCAAAGTTGGGTTCACGGAGACACCCGCACCACTCCTTGTTCAAGCCAACTTGGTTTGTCGCCAACCGACTTTGAATCCCGTAATCTGGCAAGCCCACCTCTCCCAAAGGCGCCAAGTATGCAAAGCACCTACTTGAAGGGTTCACGCCTCTAAACGATACCTGCTCTGGGTACTGTTGAGCCCCATGACACATAGCTGCTATCCTTCATAGAAGGCTGGGTTTGCTCTGGGCCAAAAACGCATCTGCACCAACCCACCCACAACCACACAACCCCGAACCCTGAATCCTAAAGCGTCCTACGGCCGTAAGCCTTCAGCCTGAGGGAAGCCTTACACGCTGCAGCACTAAAGCCCTACTTACATGCTAGACCCTGAAACCCGGCACGTTACAGAATTCTCTTACACTTACACCCGCACACACACACACACACAGACACAAGCCTTTTTATTGATGCTGCACGGCCCTAAACCCCATATTAAGCCTAAACACCAAATGCTAGAGCTTTACGACCCCTAAACATCCTTATGCTCCAGAGCCCTAAACTTTGCAGGAGGTAGAAGAACACCCCGTCACCCCCTACATCCTGCAAAACCCTACAGCCCTGAATCATTGAGGCCCTGAAGTACTACGCCCCCTGAACTCCTCTCAACCCCAAAAGCCCATTCCCTAATTCCCTAAGCTCTTTATCCCGAAAATCCGAATGCCTTGCATCCATCCAGTGCCTCGAAAGCTGGGATGCACCTGGAAGGAAGGAGATCCCTTCTGTAAGGAGACTCTCAGCTGGGATCCCCCGACCCAGCAGAAACCTCTCTGTAAAACCCGTGTGCAAGAGGTATTCATCTTTGCTTTCGGTGATCCTAATGAACCCCAAACCCTAAAGCCCTAAACCCGACAAGCAACATCAGCCTGATGATGACCTCTGCACCCCATCAGCCTGCATAAGCCTGACCCGAAACCCCAAGAGTAATGTAGAAGCCCAAGTGATTACCTACATTATTCCTCACGGTTCCTCATTATAGTATCATGGGCCCCAAAA